CCAGACCTCTCTGACAGAAAAGGCTCACAAAACTGCAGTTGCCAGAATTCCCTAGCATTGAGCCGGGGCAGTTAAAGTGCCTCAAACTGGCTTATTTCTGCAGTGTGTTTTGGACCTTAGTCTCAAAGGTACTACAAGACCCCCTTGCACATTGATATTCCAGATTTCTGTAAACTCCTGATGGCATTCAAAACACATATAAAGGCAAGGATAGGTCTGCTATCAAAAACAAAATTCCATCTAGTAGTCTATGAGCATCCTGTGTCTTCTAATGGTGGACTAAGAGCATCATGACACTGGGGAACTCACTGCCACCAGATATTGTGGAGCAATTTGGATGGTCACTGGTGGCTACTAGTTAGTGCTGCTTGTCAAGATGGCTATAGATGACCTCCAGGATTGACTCACTCAGCCTTAAGATCCTTGAGGGGTGGCTTTGTCTCTGACCCATCACTGTCCCAAACCTGTCTGGTGAGATCATAGAAGAGAGCCTTCTTGGTGGCTGCTCTCAGTCTAAGGAATTCCCTTCCATGGGAGGCTAGGCTGGACCCCTCTCTGCTCCCTTTTGGCCAGCAGACATTTAACGATTAATTGGTTACAGGAAGTATTTTTCGGGGCAGGTCCTGGAATTTTATATTTATCATTATAGCAATGCCAAGTACATTTATATACCGCTTCACAGTGAACTGAGCACTCTCTTAGCAGTTTGCGATCTGTAAGCCAATTGCCCCCAACAAGCTATGTACTCATTTTTCCGACCTACGAAAGGAAGGAAGGCTGAGTCAACCTTGAAGCCCTGCCTGAAATCGAACTCACAACCTTGTGGCTGCAGTAGCAGCACTGAACCACTGCGTCACTGGGGCTCCTTATGTTTTTAAAATGTCCTTACATTGTTTAAAAAATGTATATTGTTTAAAAGTTAAATGTCATTTTAATATAACTTGCTCTATTGTGTAATGACCTTTTTATTCATTAAAAAAAGGTTATATCTCAGTTAATGAAGTAGATGTGTCCTTGGACATGATTTTTTAAATAGAAAATGTGGTAAAAAGGTAAAGGTATTCCTTGACAAGGTTGTCAAGTCGTGTCTGACCGTAGGGCAGGGGTAGGCAACCTTTTTGAGCCAGGGGCTGGGTTGCTGTCCCTCAGACAATTGGGGGGCCGAAGCACCATAAATAAATAAATAAATAATTAAAAAAATTTAAAAAATATTTAAAAAATATGCATGCACTCTCTCTCAGCCCCAGAAAAGCCATGGCAAAACCCCTGTGGAGATTTTGCCAAGAAAACCCCAAGAACAAGTAATAACAACAATAATCAATATCATCATGGCTGCCGGTGGTGGCCGCAGGACCAGCCTGGGGCCGGTCCAAAGGCCTCGGGGGGCCGCATCCGGCCCCCGGGCCTTAGGTTGCCTACCCCTGCCGTAGGAGGTGGTGCTCATCTCCGTTACGAAGCCGAAGAGCCAGCATTGTCAGAGACCACTCTGTGATCATAGGGCCAGCATGATGGCACAGAACGCTGTTTACCTTCCCACCAAAGTGGTACCTATTTTTCTATTTGCATTTGCATGCTTTCGGACTGCTAGGTTGGCAGAAGCTGGGACTAGTGACAGGTACCAAATGATGGTATCCTCTGGGGTGTCACCTGGTGCAGTCTGCCACTGGGAAGGGGTTCCTTCCATACCTGCCCAGCCAGCAGCTCCATCAGACCCAGAAAGGCTGTGTGATGGCAGACACCCACTCCCACCATCAGCCACTGGTAAAAAGAAGCTGCCTTCCATGTCTGCCGGCTCTGCTGTTGGGTGAGAAAACAAGTCTCCTCCCCAGCAGCTCCACCAGACCTGGAAAAGGCTGTTGAGAGGTAGGGATATTAAAAAAAATAAAATGATCGGCACTGGGTGTCAAATGTAATAGGTATTTCCCTGATGTTGCTGATGCTAAAAAAGCTGTAGCTAGTCCTTCACCCCTTCCCCTAGAAAATGTGGAGGGACCACTGTATTCATTTTTGTATCCGTTCTTAATGAGTGTTTATTGCTTTATTGCTTTATTATTTTATTGTGTTATTGTTTTAGTGTTGTTTTAAATATTGGATTTTATGCTGTTGTGATTTAATTGTAATTTTAAGGGGGGGTTACAT